GTAGACGGAAACCAGATGGAAGGGGGCACAGAAGAGATGAAGGGGTTCAAGACATTACCTGAAATATATGGCACTTTATTTGGCATTTTAGCAAACAGCAGGAGGGGGAAGGTCGCTGTCCCTTTCTCTTTCTTCTCTGAAGCAGGCCATTTAATCTCTCTCTCTCTCTCTCTCTCTCTCTCTCTCTCTCTCTCTCTCTCTCTCCCTCCCTCCCTCTCTTTCTCCTCCCTCTCTCTGTCTCTCTCCTTTCCCCCAAAGTGAGAGGTGTCCTGCTCTGTGCCCAAAGAGAATGTCACACAGGGGTAGAAAATAAGATTCTAAATTGTTTGCCTTATTAAGCTACCCATTTAATTACTGTTCAGTCAGATCTTTGGTCCTCCAATCATAGTTCTCCATGACTATCCATAAAAACACATAGATTTGGGGCTGAGGGTGTAGCTCAGTGACAGAGCAGTTGCTTAGCGTGCACAAGAACCTGAGTTTGGCGGTGGGGGGGGGGGGAAGCAGTGGAGAAGGGAAGAAGCACAGATTTCCCAGTTTCTGGAGTCTGTCTTGTCTTATCTTTTTTCTTTTCTTTTCTTTTCTTTTCTTTTCTTTTCTTTTCTTTTTTTTTCTTTTTTTTTTTCTTTCTTTCTTTCTTTCTTTCTTTCTTTCTTTCTTTCTTTCTTTCTTTCTTTCTTTCTTTCTTTTCTTTCTTTTTCCATATCAGAGATTGAACTCAGGACCCTGTGATTGCCAGGCATTTATTCTACTGAGCTATCTCCCCAGTCCCTGAGCTATCTCCCAGCCCCAAAACTTCTATGAAATAGATCAGTTATACTTTTCTCTTGTTAATCTGTCTTTTGTTATAGAAGTTTCAGTCATAAACCCTGCATGGCTGAAGGAAAAACAAAACAAAACTTTTTCACCTCTTCCAGGGTCAAGAAAGAAAGGCAGAAAGTTAGTGGTGAAAGGCAAAAGAGTGTGCAATGCTGAGGTTTTGATGTATACTAACGCTGCTGCTGCTGCTTAAGAGAAGCCACAGGACTCTGAGGAACATTCCAGTGGACCCAGAGTACTGGCATCTCAGACATCTAGCATGGGTAATGAAAAACAGCGTGTCTTAGTCTGTTATCTGTAGCTATAGCTGAATATCACAGGTTGCATAGTTTATAAGGAAAAGAAGTTTATTTGGAGGTTCTGGAGGCTGGGAGGTCCCCAAGTATGGCAATGGAATTTGTTTGGCACTTGGTGAGGGTCTTCCTGCTGTACCATAGTGTGGTAGAGAGTACCACATGGCAGTACAGAGCCAACATGCTGACTCAGTCTTTCTTCCTTTCCGTATAAAGCCACGAAGGCCAAGATGGGAGCCCTACCATCATGACCTCATGCAATCCTAATTGCCTTCCGAAGGCCCCACCTCCAGACACCATTAACATATTAATTTGAGGATTAATCTTTCAACTCCTGAATGTTTAGGAGACACATTCAAATCATAGCAGTTCATATTCCCAGAATAGCTCAGCCATAATTTTAGATAGTTGCTGCAGAGGTAAAAATGGTCCAGGCATTCAGGCCAGTCACACCTCGTGTACATGATTTGTGGCCAGCCAGGGGATCTGTTGTGATGTTCATTGCTGCCCACCCCGCTCTGTGGGAGAACAGTGGGCCAGAGCAAACCTTTCTCTGTGGAGACCCAAATTATCCTGCTCAGATAGATGAATCACTCACCTCTTTATAAGAATTCCCAGAAACAGATCTTACCCTTTCTTTCACGGAGAATGAGAGCAGACATAGGAGCTTTGTCATGGTTAAGGATGTGTCATGAAGAGGATAGTTGACCATTTACTGGGGGGTGGCCTTGACTCCCTGATTCATGGGGGGATATAGGATGGACAGTCCTGGTTCCACAGGCAGTGACGGGACACTGCAGTTTGCTGTGGTCAGTGACTGGAAGAAATGAAAGTGAATTGAATTTGCCCTGTACTTTCTGAATTCTAAGAAGATACTAGTGTGGAGCAAGGGTGGTGGGTAAAGAAAGGGGAGTGGTGTGGTGGGAGAAAAAGCCTCCCTTTCTAGCACTCAGGGGCTGAATTCTGCAATATAGGTGGGAAAGGAAGGGCTGAAAGGCCTTGTGTTGTTCCTTGGGGTGGGCCCTGGAATGATGCAACCCAATGAATACCTTTACTATGCGGGAGAAAGGAGCCATAAATAACTCAGCACAGCCCTGACTCAAGGCCGTTCTTCAGGCAGGTAGGCACCCCAGATGCTGACACCTGATGTGCACCCTGGAGCATTGCCTCAGTTAGGGAGCTAGCCAACAGCTGCCAGATGTGGGTTTCTAAAATCCCTAGGATGCAGTCAGGAGGGGAAACAAGGCCTTTTGTTCAGATTTTTGTAGTAGTGCTGGTTTTTTCTTTAATTCTGAGATATTTCCTGTAGAGTCAGCTGCCCTGGCTGGTGCAGTTGATGGAAGGCAGTTCTTCACCTGGGCTGCCAGCTTCTCAGAAGCTCGTAGCTTGCCTGTCACCAAAGAGGCCCCATGTAGGCTCCCTGTCCTGCGGGCAGTTCAAAGGAACCCAGCTGTAATGCTGAGGAAGCAAACACGCTCACAAGTAGCCTGAGAAAGAGTCATCTCCCAATTTAGCTTCCGCCTTCTGCCTAAGGACAAGACAAATGAGAAATGAACTTCGGGGCCATGGCTGGGAGAAGAGAAAAGCCCTCAGCAGGGGCTCCTTTAAAGTCAGAGTTTTAGGGGCTGAACTATGTACTTCTAATTCAGACATTGGCATCTTGACCCCCTTAATCTCAGAGGGTCACTGTATTTGAAGAGAGGGTCTTTAAAAAGCTAGCAAGGTTAAAATGAAGTCATTAGAATGGGCCCTAAATCAGTAGGACTGGTGTCTTTATAAGAAAAGGAAATCAGGTCATAGACATGTGCAGAAGAAAGCCCAAGCGATGACAGAGAGAAAGCGGCCTCTACCCCACAGTGCGAGGCCTTCGAAGCAGCCAACTAGCTGATGCCTTGATCTTGGACTTCCAGCTTCCAGAGCTTTGCGAAAACTAACTGGTGATGTTTAAGCCCCCTAGTGTGTGGCGCATTGTGCGGCAGCCTGAGTAGACTAAGGCAGGCATTGGGAGCCTGGATAGGGCGTGAGGGTATGAGCCTGAAGGAGTGCTCTGGTGTGGCAGCGGTGTAAGTGGGCTGCGCCCCACTGTGGAAAAGAGGTAAAGAAGTAAGAATAATTGGGTGCTGGGCAGGGTGGTGCACATCTGTCATCCCTGTACTCTGAAGGCTGAAGCAGGAGGATTTCAAGAAGTCTAATCCAGCCTGCGGTATGTAAGGAGACCCTGTTGCCAAAAAACCAAACCAAACTGCTAATTGTAAGTCAGGGTGGATTCTAGGAATCTCTACTGATGGAATCTCATGATGGTGGTATGGCAGGAATGTGGACTTTGGATTCTATCACTTGGGGACTGCCTGTTCTCCCCACTCCTAAATTGCCGTGATTTAAAAAATGAAAGTTTAAAAGACTAAAAAAGAAGTGAAATTTACTTAAATGCCTGATGAAGCCCTGTGCTTAATTTATCCTCAGGTCTTGATTCCTCTTCCTGTTTTTTTTGTTTTTGTTTTTGTTTTTCTTTTTTAAGGAAAAAAAAATTTATATATATAATTTTTTTTTTTTTGCAGAACCAGGGATTGAACTCAGGCCCTTGTGCTTGCCAGGGAAGCGATTATTCCACTGAGCCATCTCCCTGGCCCCTTAAGAATCTTATAACAATTAATAGCCCAACATAATTTAAAGGCGGGATGGGCTGAGGCTGGGGACATAGCTTGGTTGTATAAGTGCCTGCCTGCAAGCACAAGGACCGGAGTTTGATTCCCGGTACTGCATGGTGCCAAGCTGGCCACTAAAACCTGGTGTGGTAGCGCATGTCTGTAATCCCAGCACTGGGGAGACTGAGACAGGAGGATCCCCAGGAGTCCGAGCTTCATAGTGAGACCCTGTACCAAACAACAGTGGGACAAGGTTGGAAGTTCTAGTGAGTAGAACTCTTTGTGCAAAATGCAGAGTTATGCTACCCACTGTTTCCTGGATTCAAATGGTATCAGGAACAATCAAGCTAAAAATGTTCAGGTTCTCAGTAAGGTGTTTTTTTTTTTTTTTTACACTGAGGCTCAAATTCAGGACCCTGTATTTGCCAGTCAGGTGCTCATGCTGCTGAGCTATCTCTCAGACCCTTAGTAAGTATTGAATTAGGTAGCTAGTTTTAACATAAGTGGGAGATTTAATTCCACTTTTAAACTTTTTTTTTTATGTATTTGATATAGGGTCTCACCGTGCAGCTCTGACTCTTAGTGATCCTCCTGTTTTCAGCCTTCCCAGCCCTGGGATTATAGGCATGCACCACCATGCTCGGACTCGTGGCTAGCTCAGAGTTCCAGGGGCAAAGCCAGGGCAGCATGTGGTGCCAGAGATTGAACCCCGCCTGGGCCCTGCAGTTGCCCAAGTCAGCACTTAGTCTGCTGAGCTGTCTCGCCAGCCCTCATTTTTGAAGTTGGTAGGGGCCACTTCTTGCTTTTTATGAAAAAAACCCCACTCTTTTTGCTCATTTTAAATTGTTATAATTTTCTTTTAATACTAGGTCTGAAATAGGTAGAAATTCCCTGAAAACTTGGAAAGAATAGCTTCTCATTTCACTGTAATTTTGGTAATTATAGCAGACACTAGCTCATTAGGCCGAGCTGAAACATCTTTTTGATAATGTTGTTGATGACTACTGTCATGGCTGTAATATTTAATGTTGTGATAGAACTCTTCAGAGTCCATTAAGCATCTTTTTCTTCCTTCATAAACATTGCTTGCTAGAGAGGGCTTGAAGGATTTAGTTGTAAGGACAATTGTAACAAGCTTCTTGTTCTGAGGTGTAGTTTGGTGATGTCATCAGTGTGTTGGTTTTTTTGTCCCTGTGGCTACATGATCATAGTTTTGAGTTTTGGAATTTTGTGTCTGCTTTGGGCCATTGCCTGTTTTTTTCTGCTCCTAGTATGGCCCCACTTGCTGTGGGCTTGGAGACAAGACATCAAGGTGAATGGGTCTACAACTAGATAAAACAGGTTCTGAATTACAAGGGCCATGAACTCTTTTGTAAATAAAAGTAGAGTGGATGTTATGAATGTTTGTGTTCCTCCCAAAATCACATGCTGACTTTTTAATTCCAATTGTGATGATTTTAGGAGCCAGGCCCTTCAGGATGTAGGTCGTGAGGGTGGAGCCCTCCTGAATGCAATCGATGGCCTCGTGAGAAGAGATTATGAGGACTTGCAGGAAGACAGCTGTGGGCACACTGGGAGCAGAGCTCTCACTAGACGCCGCATCTGCCAGCACTATCATCTTGGACTTTTAGCTTCTGGATGTATGAGAAGTAAGTGTCTACTGTTTATGCTATGCAGCCTGTAGTGTTCTGTTACGGCAGCCTAAACAGAGACGATAGACAACATAACGCCTTCCCAGCATTGCCACTCCCCTGTTCAGTGGTCTCTGATTTCTATTTTGAGATCTGTGGGTTTCTGCTTAAGCTCCAAGGGTGGAGCACTTGAGCGCAGATAGTCCAGTGCTCAGCTTGGTAGGCGTGGGACTGGTCTACCGTGAGTAGCAGACCCAAGCAGGCCAGTCGGGTGCTCTCCACATGTCTAGCTCAGGATGCTGTGTAAAGACACATGTTCTTTCCCTGGACATGGAAGATGACTGGGATCTATTAGCAATCATCTGCCATCTTTAGAGTCAGCTTCGGGAGAGGCAGATACCAAGGAAGGCAGAGCAGGCGGCAGGCAGCCAGCAGTGTCTTGGTGGTATCACCTACCAAATGGACCAAGCATTCTCTAAAGCCCCCCTGCCCTCTGTTGTTGTTTTTCTGGAAAGAGGAAACTTACTGATGGGCATACATAGTCACCATGGCTAATCACTCAGAATGTCCTACCCTGGCTTTTAAAAGCTCATAATCACTTAAACATTTGTCCTCCATTTTTCCATGAAATGAAATATTTTCTCATGGTAGGGAGTGGAAATTTATAAGTGTTATAGTCTGTTTCATGTTTGCTTGTTTTATTTTGAACAATGGAAAATACTCAGCCCTATAGATGGTAATATGTCTTCTTCAGGATATGTAAAAAGCAGAAGTTGTAGGGGAAAAAAATCTTCAACTACTAAAACATTGTAAACACAAAATAAGCCACCTGTATATATGTGCTAAATTTTTTATAGAAAATATTAGTATTTCATGGTTGATATGATTGCTTATGGATAATACAAAAATAAACTATAGGAAATTAGAGTGTACAATATACTTAGCAAGTGTTCTGGGTATATAGTCAGTATAATTTCCTTTATATGCATTTCCTTATACAAGCAACAAACAGAAATTCAGTTTTAAAAAGATAAGATTTAAAAAGTTAAAATGGGTTCAATCCCTGTTGTACCATGCCATGCCCCTGGGGCATGCTGAGACACGACTGAGACTGGGCATGGTGTCGTGTGCTTGTAATCCTAGCACTTGAGAGGCTGAAAACAGAAGGATTACTATGAGTCCAATCTACTTAGTGAGACCCTATAGACCCTGTACTAAATATAAATAAATAATAAAAAATTAAGATACCTAAATGTATATATATTTAAGACTTTTATAGAGAAACTTATAAAGCTTCTCTAAAGACATTACTGAAATATTGAATAAATAAGAATAGATTATGAAAATCAAGATAGTATTATACAGGATGGTCTTATCAAAGTAAACTATAGATTTAATACAATTTCTTCTGAAGCTTAAACATGATTTTTTTTCTGTAATTGGACAAGATGAATCTCAATTTTTTTCTTTTTCTTTTCTTTTTCTTTTTTTCTTTTTTTTTTTGAGGCAAAGTCTCACTGTGTAATTCAGGATTTTCTTTTTTTAAAAAAATGTATCAGTTATTTAATTAGATTCTTAGTAAGAAATTTAGAACACTAATTTATGAGGATAAATTCTACTTGTCAGAGTAAAATGGATCGCAAGTACCCCAGAGCTGAGGAACAGCTTTGACTTTTGCTAAAATCTGTGAGTCCACTGCTTTCTGATCCACCGACTGGCTTTGTGATCATAGCAAGAGCTTTCTCCTTTTTCTTCTCAGCCTTTGATTTAGCAGCTGTGTACTTTCTCTTGTACAAAGCCTTTCTGTAATACATAGCAGATCGGGAGTATCTACCAATTCCTCTAACCAGGACAGGATTTCAGCTGCAGTGGGGCTGCCCCTTCTTGGACTTTTTTTGCCTTCACCTTACCCTTTTTACAGGTACCACTGGCTGCAGCCTTCTCAGCTTCAGGTTTCATCTGTTTAGTGTCTGGCTTCTCAGTTTTTTCACCTGCCATCTTTCAAGATGGGAAAAAGAACTAAGTTTCCAACTTCTGGTCTATAAGCAATGACAGGAAGTCAGGATGGTCTTGAACTTACTATGTAGCCCAGGTTATCCTCCAATTCACAGCAATCTTCCTGGTTCAGCCTCCTGAGTCCTGTGATTACAGGGGTGTGCCACCATTCCTGGCCAAATCTCAAATTTAAAGTAGAAGGAAAAGGTGCCAGAAATGATGTAGCTCTTAACTTTCCCAGAAGAGAAGACTCAGACATGGGAACTTCCTTCAAAGAACAAGACTTAAAATAGAGCTGCAGTCAATTAAGATTGTGGAGTTGGCACAAAGGTACATAAATACACTGAAAGCACAATAAAGGGTGCTGGAGCAGACCTATATTTATTTTTTAAAAAGCTGATATATGAAAATTCTGACCTAGGGAAAAGAAAGAAAAAGATAAAATACTGTGCTCAGGCAATTGGTTTTCCATATACAAAAAAGGATCCTGACTTCACCTTAATTCAACCAAATAATCAATTGCAGACAGGTCAATATTATTTTGTAAAAAGGCACAACATTACAAATCTTGGGAAAATAGAGTATTTTTATACTTTTAGGGTAAGTAAATATTTTTTCATGTGCGATGCCCTGGGTTTGGTTTGACTCACCATTACTACTGAGGGAGACAGGAGGGGGCTGTTTCATAAACAAGACAAAAAATCATATACCAAAAAGGAAAAGATTGATCAAGTTGACTCAGAAATAAGAAATTCTGTTTATCAAATAATACTACAAGATACTAGCTATGAACTTGAAGAAGGTACTTAATACATATATATGAAGAATTCCTAAAAAAACATAAAATTTACAAATAACCCAGTAGGAAAAAAACACCAAAGATATGAATAGTTATCTCACAAAAGAAAAACAATATGAGTGGCAATCAAATGGATAGATGATCAGCCTCATCAATAAATAAACCAGGGAAAGAAATGTAACTCGAACGTAATGAAATATGTTTTCATACTGACCCAACTGGCAAAAAACAAAGAGTCACATGGTTTGGGATTTAGAGGTTCAAATTCTCATATAGTGCTCAAGGGAGAGATTAGCGTAGTCAGGCTACTATAACAAAGTAGATCAAACCAGTGGCTTCAACAGCAGAAATTTATTGCCCCAGAATTCTGGAACTAGAAATCGGGGTGGCTTGGCTGTCTTCCCCCTTGTCCTCACATGATCTTCATCCCTTCTGTTTTTGTACATTATAAGAACAGTAGTCTTATTAAGTTAGGGCCCACTCCAGTGACTTCATTTTAACCTTCTTCTTTAAAGAACAGCTTTCCAAATACAATTATTCTGAGATTGAATTAGTATTATGAAGAAAAATAAAGAGAATCCCAGGAGATAAAGATGTGCTGGTATTTTTGGATGACTGGGAATGTGTGGGGAGAAACCAGGTATGGAAGGAAGAGGAAGTGCAAAGTTCCTGAGTGGGAGCAAGCTGGTTTGCTTGAGAAGTAGTGTGGGGGCTGGAGGACAAGGAGTGAGAGAGAGGGTGTCAGAGAGGCAGGCAGGTCCAGGGTGTCAGGTATGAGGACAAGGACTGTGCATGAAATCAGCAGGGAGAGAATGTTGGGAGGAGCAGAACTGGAGTGTTAGGATCACAGTGCAGAGAAGGTAACAGTGGATAGCGGAAGTCAGCTAGGAGGTTCTTGAGTGATACCAGGACAGAGAAAAGGTGCCCTGGGGTAGGGAGACAACAGTAGCAGAGTGCAATGCCTGCAGATCCTGAATTTGCTGGAGGTGATGGATCAGACATGGTGTGTCAATCACTGAGGAGAATCAAGGATGCTTCCAATTTTTTCCTTAGGAATAATGGATGGAGGAACAAGTTTGGGTCAGGAAATCAAGTTCTGGTTTGGACTTCTTAAATGTGGGATACCTCACTAACCCTACTGGTGGAGCTCTAGTAGGCAGTTAGATGTACAAATGTAGAATTTGAAGAAACACAGGACACTGTTTATGGCAGCCGCAGCCAGCCTTATCATGGAGTATCCCACTGGTGACTGGTGGAAAAGCAAAACGAAATGAAAAAAAAATGGATGAAATCCTTATGCATACAAGGAGTGTTTCCTACAACATCCAAAAGGTGGTAGCACAAAACTTCAGAAGAAGCTACTCTTAGATGACTAAACCCCTGTGTCTGATCAGAAATCTATGTCACTGGGGGACAGAAATGGAGGCTAGGAAAACTTGGAGAAGCTGCCCTTCTGTGGCAGATCAACCTGAGTTTCTGTACCACTGGCTTCTGCACCCATCAGCCACACAAAGGGTAGATCCGAATGAGAACACACTGTGCTTTCTCTTCCTTCCCCAGTGTCCTCTGGCAGAGTAGGTTCTGCCTTTTGGTATGTAATGCCAGTCTCCTGCTATGTGACTGGAGAGCCCATAAACACAGCAGTTAAACCAGGAGCAGATAATGACCATCTTGCCCATGACTGTGGAATAAGCGTCCCCGCCCTGGGTGCTTAGTAGTCCCGCCCCTCTGTCCTCCAGCTCCAGGCAGCATGAGCAGCAGTGAGCACAAAAGCAAAGGCTACATTGGTCACTGGGCTCTGGCCTGTCTGTCCCGAGCACAAGTGTCTGTCAGACACATATACCTTGGCCCTTGGGCTGCTTCTCAATAAATTGCTTGAATCTAATTTTAAAATGAACTCCAAACAAATGTTCTAAGAACACTCACTTATAACCGAATTCCTTCTCCACTGTCCAAAAGACAGAGGGCCAAAGGAAAGGACATGGGGACTGCCAGACACCACCCAGATAGCCCTGAAGACTCTTTCTAATGAGGGATTAAGGCTCCCTGGAGGCGTATCATGAAGTGTCCTCCTGTAGCTTTGCATTCAAATTAACTAATGAGATAAACCTCCTGGTTCAGTTTCCTGTCTTGGGCTATAATTGCTGTTGCAGCCTTGCTAATCATTTCCTGCAGTTTTTCCTTCTTTAACTATGATAAATATTCATGCCTTTAATTTTCCATC